ACAGAGTTAAGGCTGGGAGTTGAAAACTGAGCTTTTCTTTGTTTAAGACAGCATCTCGTCTCCGCTGCTTGTTCACACCAGAGGCAAAAACATGCTTTCTATGGAAAAAAACAAGAAACAAAAAMAATGAAGAGGCATGTCTCAACATAACTGATCTCGATAAAACGAGGCCCGGATTTTTTTTTAAAAGCTACACTTYAAAATGAAGATCACCTTAGGAAAACTCTGAAGTCATTAAATCTACATCAACTTTAAAAAAAATGAAACCACTACACCAGAGACTCCAGGGGTGTTCCAAAACTTCTCAAAATGAACATATGRACTGGTTTGTGTGGTAGTTTAATTAGAGGGACAGCTAAAAAGAGGATTTCCCACATTACTGAGGCTTTGCCTTCATGCTACCAGACATAAATCAACTATTCTAATGTAGTATTTGTGTTATGGGATGAAAAATCTGCATTAGTGTGTGATAGCATCTTGTCCCATGTCTGCGTTTGTGTTACCGAAATATCTCATGAACCATTTAACAATTTTTTTAAATGAAACTAATCACTGGATGATCAACAACTGATTTAATATGGCAGCAACAGTCAACTGACCTTAAAAACACAAAAAATGACATAACTAAGACCATTTTTTTGAGCCATTGAGCTCAAATCTGATGTGGTAGTAGCTAATAGTCATCCCAAACACATAATATGAGGATGAAATATCATAATATTGTGTTTTTTTTTTGTCCAAGGTTGGACCAAAACAGCCACAACTCCACAATTTCTTAACAAGAGATGGTTTTAGTCTAAAACTATGGCATAGTGTGCAACTCAAGTATGTATTTGCTTCAAAGAACAGTAGACTTTTATTCCAATATAACTGAATCATAATGCCCAATTTTAGGATCTGTGTAAGGTTCTCTGCATCAGCATTTCTAAGCTCAATCTGCATTCATTCGTTCAATTCAACACAACTTAAAATGTATCTAAATACTTCTGGCTGATTCAAAAAGGTAAGCCCAATATCTGAGTCTGTTTCATATGTGCAGCAGTGGTAAGAAATAAGCACATCACAGGCTATCCCAGCCAAATGAGCTCTAAAAATGCATGTTACTGGTTACTTGTCAAGACCACCAACTGGGGCATCAAGTAAGATCTTTTAGGTGACACACTTTTAGAGGAGCAGATGTTTTGTCCGAGTCTGGTACTACAGAGGTCACGACGYGAACAAAGAACTTCCATGCCGTTGTCTCTGTAGCAACTTTAATTAAACTTTTAATTACCATTTGCATGCTGCAAACAAAAGGTTATCTAATGTGTTTGTGTACAATGACGAACTCTTGCTTTTACAAAATATAAGGCAAACACAAATCTGATGGGTTGTTGAGATTAACAGCAAAAAAAAAAAAAACATCTGACAGGAGATGTTATAAAACGTCTGGTCCAACGGTAAAGTGAAAAATTCTCCCAAAACAAAATCAAAACATGAGACAGCGCAGCCTCCTCTTATTCCAAAAACATTAAYCCAGYCTCATTAGAGTTGTGACTTTTTCTRTGTTTACCTCGCAGAAAGAAGATCTTGCCCGTTGCCTCTCATCATCTTCACCGGAGTGAACCCAACGAGACGCCATCATTCAACTTTGMTGAAAATCCTCTCGTCTGTGAACGCCCACATTGAAAAGCTAGCTCCAGCAAGACGCACGAAAATATCCCCCGCTTTGATTTACACCTCCATTTTTCCTGGATGTCTTAGTCCATCTGTAGGAGAGATGTTACATTGTCAAGTATTTGTTTTTGCTGCATTAAAAGACAATTCAGCAGCAGATCAAAACACAGTAAAAAGAAAGAAATCAGTTGTTTAGACTAATTTACATTTAATTCTGGACAATCTGCATTTTTGTTCTTGTATTTTTTCCTTTACAAAAGTTTCTCTTTCAGGTGAAAGGAAAAGCTGTTATGCGAATGTGATGGTGTTTGTAAAATCGGATTAACGCTTTGGCCAAGTAGGGAAAAAAAATAAATAAGTCACACTCTTCATGTGACAGATCACCAGGATTAAAAATTCACGTTACACACAAACAGAACTTACTATAAATTCATCTGACCTTTTCTAAGAAACATGTTAGAGCACTGGTTCCCAAACTTTTTGTCTTCTGACCCACAAAATATCCATGGCAAAAACTTGTGACCCCAAATATTACTGGTCTGAGTACATAAACTTCGTTAAAAACCCTAAAAACACAGGCTTTTTGACAATCTAAACAGCTTATACACAAATAAAAATACTTAATTTTACTTATTTTGTGTTTTTGTAATAATTATAGGGAAAATATTACATCAGAAATTATTTTATTACCCTTTAAATTGATTTCTGGAGATTATCCAAGGTGCTTCATGACCCATAATTGGGTCCCAAGCCCAACTTTGGGAACCAAAGTGCAGTGGTTCCCAAACTAGCTTTTGACCCACAAAATAAAAGTAGCAGAGACCTGTGCTCCCAGCTATTTTTGGATGATAAACATTTGTATCATGTCAACAAAACATGGGCATAGTAACAATATTTTTATACTACATTTATCCATTTTAAACATACTAACCTCACTCCTTTGTAACAAATAAGGCAAAAATGTAATTAATTCAGAAAATCTTTTCAGGACCCCATCTTGATGTTTCGGGACCCACAACTTTTGGAAATGCTGTGTTAGAGGATTATAATTATGTATTATACTGGTTTTGTAGCTTCAAATAACAAAACTGAGACTCAAAAAAWTTTAAAAAATAATCAATGATGCGAAATAAACTGTTGTAAAGTTTGCCTTATTCCTTAGTGACATATTTTTAAACGTTATTAATTTATTTTATTTGCGTTTGAGATTATATTTTAGCTACACAACTGAACTTAAATAATAAATGTGGTATGTGATAAATGTACATAATACAATGATTACTCTAAGTACAAATGCAAGACAGAAAAGTCGTGAAAKGTTCTATTTAATGGCTTTATTAAAACCTTTACAGGTTTCTCAAGTAAATTAAAGTTTGATCAGTTTTAATAAACAAGTAGATGACGTTACAAAACATTGCCATGTGATGAGTTGCTGACCTCATCTTAGAGTAATTTAACCCGACTCTTCCATACATGCACAGTATTGATCCGGGTTTTAAACGACGATAACAGGAACTATTATAACACGATCACTTGTTATGATCAGGAGAACAACAATGTGGACACTCAGCTCCAAGTTATGAATGGTTAGCAACAAGTGGACGGGAGGCAGGGTGGGGGAAAAACATCGATGTTTTTAAAGTTACATGACAATAAAGCACACAAATCAGCATTTACACGGCGAGRCATCTCACTGTGTTGTGTCTGGTTCAAATAAATAAACTTTGCCTTTCATGAGTATGAATTTCGAGCTCGGTGATGAAGACAGAGGCTGTTACGAAGTGTGCCAGCCGACCTGTTGTTCTCTTCAGCGTTTAAAAAAAGCAGCTTTGTTTTTGTTACTGTTAGCTGAGTACCATCAAAAAAAAGTATTAAAGTACACACGGAAACATTGTAGCTTATTTCAAAGCTAAGYATACGGTAAAAGTACCTTTAAAATCGGCGATACGAGCCAAGTATCATCGGCAGCGGGCTGCTAGCGGTTAGCATTCATGCTAACGCCTGGAGTTTTAACAAAGTTACCTGTGTAGTTCAGGAGCGCCTCTAAAGTCGGACAAAAGCGGCGGTGGTTGTCCAAAAGAAAGAACGATCCCAGTAAAGGCATCGCGTCGTAACTGGAGTCCCTTGATGCGTACTCATAATTTCCTTAAATGTACGTACAACCGACTTCCCCGTGATTATTCCCAACCGACTCACTCAGCTGAGGCGCATGGTGCAATTCTTTTTTGCACCAAACTGGATTTTTTTTTTTTTCTTCTCCCAGCTTTCCCGAGTCCACCTTCGGTCAATAGGAATGCTCTCGACCAATCAAAAGCAGCGTTGCATTTAATCGAACCAATCAAACGTAAGTTGACAAAAACATTCACCGCCGCTCTTCTGAAAGTTTGTTTTTAACTGTTCGGCGAGCGGAGTGGGCGAAAAAAAAAAATAAGACAAAATAATCCCTGAAAGGATTTAGGAGTTATCGCGAACATACACTCCAAGAAGTTCACGCTGTAGATTTCGTCATTTACCCGCAAAAACCACTGGGGTTTGCGCTCACAAGGGTGAACTAGAAGTCACATGTTGTGGTTCAGAATGAGGTCGAGTTGAGCGTGATGACTAGAATGTGTAATAACACACGCACTGCTTTGAATTTTATACTCTTTTTTTTTCATGGCAGAGCTATTATCTTTTGAGCATAGCTTAAAATGTAAAGCCCTTTCTTTTTTTTACTACGTATATTTATAAAAATAAACTTGCTGCTGTAGATTATAATCAGGGCTCAGACAAATGCCTCTTTTATGCCTCTCCAACATAAGGGGCCACCTGTTCTTGGATTTGGTGGCTTTTGTTGCAGAGGTCAGTTCAGGGAGGAGACTTTCACAAGGCTGTCTTGTCCAGCCTCTACTTTCTGTTTGAATAAAAGCTCTGAGTGGAGACAAACTGTCTACATTTACAGGTATTGTTTATGATTCACACATTACTTTAAGATTTAACAACAAATTAATACTTTGATACTAACTGTAACTGTAAAACTTGTCAGCAAAATCAATGCAAAACTATATTAAAAAAAATAAAACAAAAAAATCATTTTCTTTTATGTGAAACAAACTTATGAGAACCTGATTTCCTCAATCAGCTGAAATTCAGAAAACAGGTACCCAAAGATTGCGCCGCACCATAGCCCAGATCCAGACTTGGTAGAAAAATAAACTACAATCAAATAAATGTAAAACATGTAAAGATTCCCTAAAAAAATGACAACATTTTTTTAAAATAAGACTTACAGATGTAAAACATTGTGTGAATCATCAAAATTACAAGCAGACATTCATCTTTTTTTTCTATAAAAACACACCAAATTATTTAAAAAAACACTTTATTAAATCATAAACTAAAAGAAAGGACAAAAGCATCCCCCACCCCAAATAAAAACCTGAGAAACGAGGTAGCTCATACAGTTTTGAGATCACTTGTTTTCCCCAGAGCCTAAGACGAGACAGAAGAGTTTCTAAATAAACCTTCAAAATGACAACAGAGATGAAAATGTAACAAAACTCACATTCTTATGTTGTTTCACAGATATGAAAACTCAGAGTAAACCATGATCAAGCTCATAAGAGACTAAAAAAGCAGCACGACAGAGATCTTAACAGAGACAAATTTACTAAACAAACAATGTGGTGGTAAACACGTGAGTCAGTTGTCTCATCTAAAAAAAACTCCCCTCTTTTTGCTAATATTATCAGATAAATGTGGTATGTTTTATTGCCAAACAAACATGCATGAAAGGAGAAACTTGACAAGTATGTTTGAGATAAGATGGTATCGTAGCAGAGATGTGGGAAAGGCATCTCCAGGGAAATGTCTGGGCTTGCTGCGGGAGAGGGCATGGAGGACGGTCCCCAATTTTGTTTACGTTAAATTTTATATTTCTTCTTTCCACTGTCGCTAATCACACATATGTGCTGAAAGAGATACAAAATTAATAAATAAATAAAAGACAGTCAAAAGATCTTCTAAATAAACTTGTCTTAAATGAAGCGGACTTACATTAAGGTCTCTAAAATACTCATTGTAGTCCAAGGCATAGCCGACCACAAAACGGTTGGGTATCTCAAAGCCGACATCTGTAAAAGATAAGCTGTAGATGTTTTTCTCTGTTCAACCAATCACTCAAACCCACATTCTGAAATAGGCAGTGATTCATAAAAACAGTTAGTCACATACTTACAGTCAGGTACACAAGCCGATCTATTCTCTACTCGCTTTATCAGCAATCTGTGGGAAAAGCAGCATCAGTTTCCTCACTGTCTATTGCATCATCAACAGTCTGCGTCACCTGATCGAGTCTTCCGTTCTGATGGATGAGTTTTAATCTAGATACTCGACTTACCCCGCCACTTTGATCATTTTGGGTCTGAAGGCTTCGACGTGCTTCAGGAGAGTCTCCAGCGTCTTCCCTGTGCCCACGATGCCCTGTGAGGACAGAAAAACAGGGCTGAGTAAGCTGATGGAGGTGAAAATACAGAAAAAAAAACAAGTTTTAAATCAAACTGAAAGACAAGTAAGAAGTTCCCCACACTTACAGTATATTACGCAACTAGTCATGACGTTTACTTCGATGACTTCCCAGAAAGCTTGTGATGTCTTACACAAAACCTCTTGCATTGATATAAATAATAAAAATAGTGTTTGGTTAGTTAGATAAAACATGTTTTACATGAATAAATTTGTATATAATCACCATTTAGGATGTTGTTTACATTTTAGTGAACTTGTGTTCCTCGGTGTCGGAAAATATTAAATACAGAGAAGACCGGCGGTTCACATTTCTGTTAGAATAAAACTCACATGATGAACTACAGACAAGTTTATTATCTAAATGATTTGGGGTTTTTTTATTTTTATTTTTCAAAATATATCCAATTCCAATTATTCAGTCAAATATTAAGTGGCACAGTTTGTAATTTTGCAACAATGGCTCTCAATCCAAACAACATAAAGATCATAAAACCTGTTGATAGTGTAAATTAGGGGTGTCAAACTCAGTTACACAAAGGGGCCAAAATTCAAAACTTGGTCCAAACCAAGGGCCTGGATTAAAATCTGATGTAGTATTGTCGGTCATGTCATACATGCCAGCTAGTGGGAAATAAGCCCATCCCACCTGCACCTCTTCACCCTATTCCAGTGCTTGGTGAGCCATTTGAGAGAGTTTTATTAGACTGTGTTGGCCCCTTGCAAAAAACAAAGTCGGGTCATCAGTGCATATTAACTATAATGTGTGCTGCTTCTCGTTTTCCAGAGGCCATTCCATTATGCACGTTAAAGGCAAAAAACATTGTGAAAGCCCTCACAATTTTTTTTTCCACTTTTGGCTTGCCTAAAGTTGTTCAATCTGATCAGGGGACGAATTTTATGTCMAAAGTGTTTGCTCAGGTTCTAAATGAACTGAAAATTAAACATCAAACATCCAGCCCTTATCATCCAGAGTCCCAAGGTGTACTGGAGCGGTTTCATCAAACCTTAAAAACCATGTTGCACAAATACTGCCTTGAATCTGGCAAAGATTGGGATGAGGGTCTGCCCCTTTTGCTGTTTGCGATCAGAGAAACAAYGCAGGAATCCCTTGGTTTCAGCCCTGCAGATTTAGTTTTTGGACACACTGTACAAATTAATTGAAAACAACGTTATATCTTTTGATTTCCCTCTGATTATACAGCACCTTGTGAATCTATTTCTATGAAATGTGCTATATAAATAAAACTTTACTTATTTTACTCATATAAAAAAATATTCTTATATAAATAAGAAAAAAACTCACTAAAACTTCCATTTGACTTTAAAATAGGAAGAAATTACAGGAAACGACACTCAAATTCAATTCTCTGTTGTTTTTTTTTGCACCAAAACCAAAAACTACTTAAAAATACCAACGTAATTTTCTTGACTTGAACGTTGACCAGCTGTCATGTGAAGAATGAAACAAATACAGCGACACAAAAAGAAACTATAATTCTATTGTAATATTAGCCTCTGGGCCGGATAAATTCTTACTGAGGGCCAGATTTGGCCCACAGGCCTTAAATTTGACACATGCTTTATTGTGGGATTATGAAAACATTTTTTGAACATCGGCACAAATTAAAATATTTATGACATTAGGCAGAAACAGTGTTTAAACAGTACTGTACACAGGTACTGTATTATAGTTTCAGTTTGGTAATGATGTCATATTAACAATTATGTTCCTTTTCAGAACCTTTTTACTACGTTAAGGGGCTGGTGTAAACCACTACTGGTAAATTTTAGTAATACTTTACCTAATTTTTAATGATATTAAAATACTGTGTAGATACACAAAATAACTTAAGTGATAATCAAACAATATATGCAGTATATATATATTTCAACTCATAATGTCTTCATTACTAACAGGTAATAAACTGATTATTGGTAAGGACATAACTATTTCTTTTAATAAAGGAGCTGACTGTGTTCATAGCCAGCCAAGTATAATAATGAGAATGTTGAGTCAGATATGTAAATTTGTTGCTTTTAAAATTAATGGGTACAAACTGTAACTTAAGAGMTGAATCACAAAATAACACACAACACTGGCGCATATAAACAGCACTAATGTTGAAACAGTTTTAAACATTTGGTTCATAAATGTACAACAAAACATACAGCACACTGTAATTATTGTTTTTTTACAGTTTTATATGGAAATTATTTACTTTTGAAGATTTTTACTTTAAAAAAAAGCTTAAAGTAACAGCGAAAAGCAGTTTTTCAATAAAGAAAAGTTAATAAAGCAACAACTTAAACACTTATATGTGCTTTTATCCATTAAAATTTTAATAAAGAAGTTATTATGTTAACTTTCTAGTCATGTATTCATGAATGTTTTGTTCAATAAAATACAGATTTTATCATTGATTAATGCAATAGTGGCCAAAGTTTAGGAAAGATGGCTCTTTGACTGAACAGTTTGTTTCTAATCACCAYGAATGACCTCTTTAGTTTCTACTCTAAGACTACTTTTTAATTTCTAGTGCTCCAATTCTTCAGTTATTGTGTTTACGGACTAAAGTTAGTAACAATAAAAAGCAGCGCTCTCATGTTTCTTGAATGTAGGTCAGTCAATTAAAAAGTTTCCTCACGTTAAACTCAAGTCCTGCAGCAGAACACAAACTTTAAATGGCCCCTTCTTGACCTGGATCACAACAAAACACACAATGAGCCCGTTCTGTAAGGAGCAAAAGCAAAACTGACTCACCTCCACAATCAGAACGTTCTGACGAGAGCATGATGGGGGAGAAGAGAAGAAAAGGAAGGAAGCAGAAACTCCTGATTAGAAACAAATACACTTTTTGCATCCTTATAACCACACATTTGATAACGCAAGAAAAAAAGGGAAAATAAAGATTTTTTTAAGCTTAATTTTCTTTTAAAGAAATGACTCAATGTAGAGCTGAGCCACACCCAAGCAGCTCTGCATTAGTAATGTTTTTTAATTAAAAGAACGTTACATGAGTGTATCCACAAACTGATGACTGCAGCAGAAAATATTCACATCATCAATAAATAAAAAAAAATATCTTTTTGTCAGCGCTGGTTTAAACGTGACACTGAAAGTCTATAGAAGACTGCTTAACAGGAGACCATCTTGAACTGATCTAAGGCTAAAACTCCTCAGCTGCCAGTTTACTTTTCAAACAAAGGATCCATCCAAGCGTGTTGTCTCGCTTTGTTCAAACCTCATTACCCACTCAGATTTATTCAGGATGAAGTGGACCAAGAAAAAACAAAACAAACAAAAAAAACCCATCTGAGTTAAAATAAAAAAGAGGAAGGAACTTTCTTACACTTAAAAACAGCAATTTACCATCAAAGTAACAAAACTCAATTTAACAGTGTCAGCGTGAGCTGAGGAACGTCACACAAACTTGTGAAATACTGTGAGGAAAGAACACAGCGGTGACTCAAACCTCKGGTTTTAGATATCTGTGCCTCGCCTCCCTGCAGGCAGACTGGTGACCAGATAAATGACTGAATGTGAAGATAAGCAGATTTATTAGACCTACATAGTGAGTGATTCACCTCTTCACTCATGCCAACGCGCACAGATGAATGAAGCTAAAGGTCCTCTACATCAGCTAAAGAAATACTCAAACAAAAACTACAAATCTAATTCATTGTGTTTGACACAAACTCCACTGTCCCATCTGTAGGAGCTCGCTGTGTTTAGGAAATCCATCCTAATTGAAAATCGGCCAAAATTTGATTTTGACCCAAAATGGCCGACTTCCTGTTGGTTTTAGAGCATACCTCCAAGAGACTTTTTTTCTTGATTTGGGGAGATCTACCTATGTCTCGAATTTCAGTGCTCTAGGACTTACCAGTTCCTCTATCTCACATTAGGTGGCGCTGTCGAGTCATTTGGCCACGCCCATTAAAAATTCCAATAGAATCAGAGGAACCCTCTACATCAATGGTTCCCAAACTTTTTGTCTTCTGACCCACAAACTATCCATGGCAAAAACTTGTGACCCCAAATATTACTGGTCTGAGTACATGAACTCCATTAATAACCCTAAAAACACAGGTTTTTTGACAATCTAAACAGCTTATACACAAATATAAATACTTTTTATACTTATTTTGTGTTTTTGTAATAATTATCGGGAAAATATTACATCTGCAATTATTTTATTACCCTTTAAATTGATTTCTGGAGATTATCCAAGGTGCTTCATGACCCATAATTGGGTCCCAAGCCCAACTTTGGGGAACCAAAGTGCAGTGGTTCCCAAACTTTTCAGCTTTTGACCCACAAAATAGTACAAAACAGCAGCAGAGACCTGAGCCCCCAACTATTTTTGGATGATAAACATTTGTATCAGGTCAACAAAACATGGGCATAGTAACAATATTTTTTATACTACATTTATCCATTTTAAATACACTAACCTCACTCCTTTGTACCAACTAAGGCAAAAATGTAATTAATTCAGAAAATCTTTTCAGGACCCCACCTTGATGTTTCGGGACCCCACTTTGGGTCCCGACCCCAACTTTGGGAAACACTGCTCTACATCACTCATTCAGTCTCCTTCCATCAGCAGGGTTCCTACAGTTTAAGGCAAGCTAAATTTAAGACTTTTTAAGACCTATTTAATGCCACTTGAAATGAAACTTAAGACCAATGTCACAATAAACACAAATGAAAAAAAAACCCAGTTAGCGACTATTTTAGCCAATTTTTTGATACAAAACAACTAGCTGCGAGGGGCATTCAATAAATTAAAAAAAATGTTACCAATTCTTTTAATATTTGAGAGGAATTACAATCATCCTACTTACATTTTAAGACCTCTGAAAGATTGATTTAAAACTTTTTAAAGCTAATTAAGGCCTTATTGTTGGACTAATAAATTCAATGCCTTTTAAGACTGTTTAAGGATCCGCGGGAACCCTGATCAGGTAGGAGATACAAAGTACCTCTGGCTAAGAAGGCGATACTCAAAAAGTAATTTATTCCAACTGCAGTTTCAGCCCTCAACAAGAGAGGTATTGTTTTATTTTGTTTATGATTTTTATCGCGTATAAATGTTTCTTTGAAATGTTAGATGTGTGGATGGAGCCCTGTCAAAGACCAATTTCTGTAACCTTTGGTGTCAGACAAATAAAAGTTTTCTATTCTATTCTATTCTATTCTATTCTATTCTATTCTATTCTATTCTATTCTATTCTATGTGATAACTATGGATTCAGATCTAAATTAATGGTTTTCACTGGACTGAAAAAGAAAACGATACATTTTAGTCAAATTCCTACAGATGAACTTTAGCTCGAATCCTCTGAATCAGATGTTCAAGCGTGTTTTGTGTCGTTCTCATTAAATCCAGAGTCGCATCAGTTCTGTACAGTTTGTTGCCAGAAGCTAATTTTGTATTTCCATGAACAGATACAAAAACAAATTGTCTAATAAACTAAATAATTTCACGTTTGTTGTTTTTTTTTATGTGAGTGACCAACTTGACCTATAAGGGACTCGTGATTACCTTAACTGCAGAAAAGTGCAAAAAGTCTAAATGTTCATAAACTTAAGGGGTCTTCAACATTTTTCAAACAGGGACCTCCAGACAGATGGAGGGAGGGAGCAAGGGCCCACTATATACTGTATTAACCTGACAGAGTGAACCCACCTGGGCTGCATGACCTGTCCAGTGTGGTGAGGGGGCGTGGCCTTCTCTTTGTGTGCAGAAGGCATGGAGGGTCAGGCTGTGAGTGAAGCAGAATTCAGCTGGTGTGTGCATTTCAAACTCAAATATATTGTTTTATGCCTACATTTATCCATTTGCTACATGTTGAATTCATGGTAATGTGTGTTTATAGACAACTTCGGGGAAAAAAAATCTTTAAAAGTCTAACCAAAATAATCACGAGTCATGACCCCATTGTTGAAGACCTCTGACCTATACCGTTGTAAACATTTAGACTTTTTGCCCTTTTATACAGTTAAACAGCTCAAATATTAGA